CCCGCTAACTCAGTTTAGGTTCCAAGGGCCAAAAACAACAGGTGTGTTCTGATACAAGTAATATAATTATATATTGTCTTTCCGGAGTATGGAACTCTCTATATAGAATTTTGTGAAGTTTAAAAGGTAATACATATTCCCTATAGACAACTGAAGCCACATGATGGGAAATTACTTCCTACAGAATCATCTTAAATGCATGTTCATACAGAAATATTTGTGTTTTATTTTTACACGTGTGAAACAGCATGATAGTGATAGAGGTATGATAAGATGTGATATTAGTATTACATAATACTTTACATTCAGTGGGCTGCTCTGCTAAATGTTGCAAGTGAATCAGGAGCGAAAATATCGGTTTTATATGCTAACATAATTGTAAATTATCAGTAGGATACTACTCCATACTACTGCAATGTGAAAACTGATGTTCTTTCATTTTCAAATGCAAAGATTGAAATATTACCAGCATCCTGTCAATATTTTGCAGTTCAGTAAGATAAAAACAACTTCTACTGCCGCGTTATCTGCAGCAGAAGGGAAATAAACGACAGCAGTCAACCAAATGCTGTTTTCACTGATACATATAAAATCGATACACGAATTGGTACGATATATATTGTAAAAGTGATAGATTTTTCAAGTTGGTAATTTCTGATTTTCCACTTAGATAAAGGTAATAAACACATGCATTGGAGGAAGCAGGCGTCAAACGTAATGTTCACCGACAGCTGCAGCAACAAGTGATACAGACAGCAATCAAGTATGAAGGTGGTCAGAAGCACGTCATAATAAACTGTACACACAGCAATAGTTTCTATCATAGATCAATAAAAAAGGACAGTTGATATACATGTGAAGTTTTCAAATGAAACCACAAACAGACAAATGTCGATGTAAAGAACAGTAAAGTTAAAAAAAAGGGAACGACTTCACAGACAAGAAGGTTCACTGAACAGCGACGTTCTCAGCAAAATGTTAACGAATAGACAAAGGCTCACAGAACAGCGACGTTCTCAACAGAATGTTAACGAATAGACAAATGCTCACAAAATGTTAACGAATAGACATAGGCTCACAAAATGTTAACGAATAGATAAATGCTCACAAAATGTTAACGAATAGACAAATGCTCACAAAATGTTAACGAATAGACAAATGCTCACAAAATGTTAACGAATAGATATAGGCTCACAGAACAGCGACGTTCTCAACAGAATGTTAACGAATAGACAAATGGAACAGATCTACTTACGTTCCGATCAAAATTTCAATGATAGAAAAAAGCGACATGGAACAGTGAAGTTCGGCAAAATCTCAGCGAATAGACAAATGGCCAACAGAACAGAGACGTTTTCAGCCAAATGTTAATCATCAGGCAAAACAACAAATAAAATATCGACATTATTCAAACTCATATTCGATAAAACGGGGGGTTAACTATGAACAAAAGAAAGACAACTGAAAAGGAAAAGAGACAATTTCCGGAAGTATAAGCATTTTCCTCTTCATCGACTTCAACGACACCTATCAGATAAAGTAGGGCGGTAGAGAACGACGGAATCAACAAGCACTCTGTCAACAATCAAACATGTACAACTTTATATTGCATAAGGAAATAGGATGCCATTATATATCAATTTTCAGCATAATCGGAGAATATCTAAATTTCGACCAATCAGAAACCTTCATTATGTTTCTATAGTAACGGTTCTGGAAACAACTTATGCGTCAAATTATAGTGGCATTAGGAAGTTACACCATTTGGCCAATTTTCATTTAAATCGAAGTACACGTGTGTAGCAACCTGGTTACCATGGCAGCCAAACTTTCTGCTGAATTAAACTAAATACACATCTACACTTCATCCGTAACTGTGTAATGAATTGAAATCGGGTCACAAGTCTAAGAGTTGTCCGGACATTTTCTTTTCAATTGACAGATAGTCAAACATGGTAATTCAAGCATAGCCTCTATCAACAATAATGTAGGGGAGGGAATATTAACATACCTTTTAGAAAAGTAATACTACTAGGAAATGAAACTTTTGAATATTTTCTCATCAATCAATCAATGGAAGCAGATACAGAATCATCGCATTTTTTGTTTTCTTTTTTTTTTCTTTTTTTACAACATGACGCCATGAGACTCTCCTCTTTAAGAAGGTTTTTCTCGGCGTTAATCGATCGTTGTAGTACAGCCGATGGTTAAATGTAATTCTAAACTCACATAAACTTTACATTGTCGTTACTTATTTATTTTAATTGATGTTGCTGATTGTTGTAATTGAGGTAGCAATCGTCTGACTCATTGTTTTATCGAGGGAGACAATAGTACCTAATGATCGGTATAAGATTGGCCTGCCCATCCCCGCTAAATTATTCAGACTCACATAACATCTCAAATTCTATTTTATTCGCGACATTAGAAAACGCAGAATCTGACACACACGAAATGAAGCTAGCGGGAAAGACCGTTTTCAAATTAAAGAAATTCCAATAAAATTTATTTATATCCCACTGGAGGTATTCCGTGTATAATGTCTAATAGAGACGATAGTGGGATAGAGAAACCATGCAAGGACATGGAGTTATATTTGATTTCTAAAGTATTGTTATTTGGTGTTGATTACCATGTAATGGAACCATCTGGTGTCTACGGAAACTGGAGTTATCGAGGTCAATGGGTAAAATCTCAGAACTGAATTCTACAATACATTACTTTAGACTGGCGTAGAAGTATCTTGTGTTGATACATCATGGGTTTAATGCGCCCATCAGGAGGCTTTCCTATCACCATGGCAACATTACGAGACTTCATAACTTTCTTTTCAAGCAGCTTCCTGTTTCCTCGGTGACTTCCGGTCCGCCAGAAAAGCCTTCTGTCAAAAGGTCATTTCATCTGACGGATGTTTAACAATGCTATCCTACTGTCCTCTAGTCGAGTATTTTATCTACCTGTCTGTGATATTCTACAATTAGTTCAGCAATACATAAAGTTGTCGGTTTTTGGAAGAATATTTCCAACAGAAAAATTAATTATGGATAACAGATAATCATTCTAAGATACGTTACTGTCTTTCGTTAGGTATACAAGACATACTTATGTAATTAATTCCGTCGGCATTTTCCTCCGGTATGTAACCAGGATATCACTACGAATTGGGAACTGACAGCTCTTCCTGTCATCATCAGCACCTGTATTACACGTGCATTACGCTTGTTTAGTCTCAAGCATTTATCGTTTTTGTAGATATACACGCGATAACCATAGTACACCGTCCCAGGTTATCAACCCTCAGGCGGAGTAGAACGGCTGCCAAGGCGTGTCCGATGAGAAGTACACAACTGTGTTACATGTATAAACATCATTTATTATATTCCCTAGGTATTGTTTGTTAAGAATGTGGTTCTTTGTAATCAATCTAGTGTAGAAATTTCAGGTATAGATACGAAATTGTCGATAAACGAATTTTTACTCGGAATCTCGTACAATAGCTGGATTAACTATTGTACTTCCCGGGACGTTGTCTACCTAACCACAGTGCAGGCACGTGCACCCGATCAACTCGTTCCATATAGCTATACACGTAATAGTAAAGTTTGTTTTTCTGATATAATCTGTTAATCATTTTCTATAACACGTAATTTTGGGGAAACGAATCGGCTGCATCATAAGACGATATTTTTCCTATGCAGAATTTATTTCCCTTTAACTCTCGTTTTTCCCGACTTATCATAAAGAAACCCGATACTGCTACATTTTTTATCCGTTTATAACTAATATGAATCTACTATGTATGAGGCGACTAAGGTGCGGGCCCTGAAAAAATGATTATATTCTGCTAAGTTTCCCGTTGACACTGGTAACATTCATCCCTCCCCTCTGCTAAACAATCCGCACCTTTACTTTTCGCTGAACACTCTTTCTTTCCAACCAATCTCATAACTTCATATGTTTATAGGATGTCAATCCATGAACTCCGTACATACAAACACCTTATCTTATGTAAACCTATACATGTATATAAACAACATTCTTATGTTTGATAAAACAACACTGATTTTAAGTCAATAAATATTCATAGCAACCCTTCACCTTAAAATGAGTAATTACTTGATGATTTTAACAGGTATGCCAACTCACTCAGCAAATAAAACGTAAACAGCTACATGTACGTCTATTTCAGCACATATCGCTTTCACTGATAAGTGAGAATCTACCGACGGAATACACACACTGAATTTGACATACATCGCCGCATGACGTAGAAACATTGGCACGACCTCAGAGCGGTATTATCCGGCGTGGATTACCGAGGAAGTGATGTACAGAAAGATAGGGCTTACTCGGGACTTTTCAGGGCATCAACACAAAGATCACTTTAACGACAAGTTAAATGAGTTTTAAACAGTGTAATAATTAATACCAAGATAGGCAGGCTTGATATGGCCATCATTATCGGTACACTCGTTATAGTTACATCCCATATTAATTAACTTTTAAGTGATTAGTATGATTTAAAGTTTATTTTCAGTACTGGTACATAAGTCCATGTTTGTTATATAAACAGTGCCTATTACTTAGGGGTTTGTAATGCCAAGTCAATGTCCTTTAATCCCAGGTTAAAAGTTAAGCATTTTACATCGTGAAGTTAAAGTTGGCCGATTGCCCTATATTTCTATTATTGCTAACTGACGTATATAGTTGTTGAATAGGTATGGTACACACAGGTATAATTATAGAATACCTTCTGCACGACACAGCAGGTTTAATACAATATAATACATAATAATCCCAATAGCACGTCGATTACATTTAATTATCTGTTATGTTAAAAACAATACAAGTACGACAAACACTAGACATTATATTGTAGCACATATTATCGTTACACCAGTAACTAGTAAAGACACACATGAATCTAGACCTCACCGATATCATTAAAACTAAGACAGGTAATCAGAAAATCTCGAGCCAACTAAAGCAATAATACTTACCTTGTGAAAATATTAGGATAAGAAATCCGAGTGAGAGTGACTTATGAAGCACGACAACACTATAATATATAAACTTGTAATATTCCGTAGTCCAAGTGTGATATTACATAACTTATGAAGGTCCGAAGTACAGTTCCCTGCTTTAAACTATTTGTAAACATAGGTAGGTATATAATTCTCGATCTCTAGTTAGCCAGTTGGCTAAGGTATTCCGTATATGAAACCGCATGGGTATGTGTGTATTCCTGCCGCGGGTACCCAGCACTGCCGATAGCCAATGGTTCAGTCCAGTCTTTATATACAATAGTCAATAGATTTTCTTCCGTACAACACACAGCAGACGGAAAGGGTAAAAATTCAGCGGTACAGCCCACTCAACCTGGAGGGTTACTAAAGGCGGACAGGGAGGTATATTTAGACGCTTCCCTCACACACATGTATTCTAGGTCTTTGGTCCATATAGTTTGAATGAGCAGCATTCCTGGGCAGCCCCAAACTTTCATTGCTTCAGGATCTGTTGATAGTTTTCAAAGCCCATACTAGCATGATGAAAAATTACAGGTGATCCTTGAAATTATTCATACCGTGTCATCATTGACAGTGTCAGAGTCTGTGACATACACAGAGGGAAGGGCCTTTAAACTGGACGATCCAAGCAGAACGACCTGGACAAAAGCTTCACATGAGTGCGGGGAAGGATTGTGGAGACAAATTGATGACCTTAGTGAATACTGCCCAGGGTTGCAAACTCACAGCGATACACAAAGTTAGAACGAAACTCCCGTCTCTTTAACTTCATTTACAAAATGTCGTGTTATAGACATATCAAAGACTTAGTAGACCATATTATTGGAGATTGTTTTCCATCTAATACCAGGCGGAAGTGATAACTGGAACACTGTTGTAACAGACATTTCCAGACGGCGATATTTAACGTAAATTAACAGTTGGACAAATGTAAATGTATAAGTGATACATATAATTGTATCAGTCATAAATTTAACTTATTAGTGTTAAATGTAACTGTAGTATTGATAAATGTAACATTATTAGTGATAGATGTGATTGTATCGGTGATAAATGTAAGTGTCGGTGAAAAAGTTAACTATGCGCGATAAACGTAACTATATTAGTGTTAAAATTAACTGTATTGGTGATAAATGTAACTGCATCAATGATAAATTTAACTATATTAATGATAGGTGTAACTGTATTAGTAAAAAATAATGTATGGTAATTAACATTTGATCAGAATACAACAAATGGAATCTAATTCAGGACCACAGTAGATTCACTTTCTGATGCACTTAAACTGGCGTTCCCGTATATATTGACTGTGACATTCACTAGTATTATATAAATAACATGTAAGATCAAGGCCAACAGTTGCGGAGGGGCTGCTTACTGGATCAGCGAGATAAACACGGACAAGTGTCACTTTTCCTGTGACCAGATGAAATCAAACAATGTTTGTGTTGTTACGATATTTAACACGAGAAACGTTTGAACTGAAAACGATCTCGTCAGCATAAATAAGTTTCACAGTGTTACACAATATGGCTGTTTACAGTACCACCTACAATTAGTAGAGATCTCTACAATTTTTACGTCAGTCTCCACTGTGTAACTATACTGCTGGACACTTTGGTATACCTTTAATAGAGATCCGACGATATTTGAGTACAATTTATCCTGTCACAAGGTGACCTTAGTCATATAGTAAGTGAAGACTAACTTCCCCTACAGCCGTAGACAAATGAACACACTAATCTGATGTCTGCGGTTGGTAGGGACCGTAACTCGGTAGAATTGCTTTTTACTCAAGTTAAAACAAATGTCGGTTTTACTTAAAACACCAATTGAACGTAATAAAGTGGATAAGAAAAATAAGTATGTTTATGCTGTTAAGGTTTGACTTAGGAACAATTCATTACAAACTGTTGGCCAGTCTTTCCACTGTCCCAGATGATCAAGGCACTTTTCATTACTCATAAAGGGACTCTCATCTTATTCCAAGTGCGTGGCATGCCGTGGATTAAAGTTAACAAACTCGTCTACCACAGGCAGTGGGCATGTATATTCACTTAACCTGCGTCACAAAGTTGGTTTTGACAACAACGATGTGTCATTACAAATGTAAATTCACTAGCATGACCAAAGACGAATCTTTGTTAAATCGTTTAATTTCATATTTCAGCCATTTTATTATGCAGCTCGGCTAATAAGTGACGTCGTCTGCATTACAGACGTATTGTTTTAGTTTTAAATGTTTTACGAAAACAACTGGTCTGGTGTTGATAGGTATGCTGAATGTTACCTAAATCATAACAATAATAATTTCTAATTATTATTTCAGTCTTAACGACCCTTCAACCCATAAAAGGTCATTAGGGCCATCGACCGGTGAAACACACAGCGATCAAATAAAGAAATAACATCAAACAAACTAAAAGTTAAAAAGACAAAAGCTAGAAATTATAAATGGTTATATTATCACAAAAGATAAAAATGGTAAGTCATAGTCTATAATATAGACCAACATCAGATAACCTAAAATTTTATCAATCTCAACAGTTTTAAAAAGGGTATTTATACTTGTAACGTTACGATAAAAAGATTCTCGAGTAGACAGAACGTCAATGCAGTCCAATAAAAATGTTTTTACGGTGAACGGCTCATCACATCCTATGCACCGAGGGTTATCTTCGCCTTTCAACATATTTGAATGCGTAAGGTATGTAGGGCCCATCCGAAGACGGCAAAGACAACTTCATCTCGGTGGTTGTCTCTATAGCATGGAGACCATTCACCAATGATAAGTTTAACGGAGTGTAATTTATTATTGGTATATTGATTCCATCCCCCCTGCCACTGAACTGTTATAGATTGTTTGATAAATGGTTTAAAATCAGTGAAATGAAGTTTAAAAACAACAGGTGGTAGCGATAAAGCTTCCTTTGCGGCACGATCTGCTTTTTCCTTGCCTGGTATTCCCATGTGCCTAGGAACCCAGCAAAAAGCAATACGAAAGTTAAAGGCAAGTTCATGATATAGTATTAATGTATAACGAATAACAATGTTTTCGATTTTCTATCGCCAAGACTTTGTAGTATAGAAAGAGAATCTGAATAGATAACAGTTCTCATTACTTTGTTTGAATATATTCAAGGGCGAGGTAGATATCTCGCGCTTCCGCCGAGAATATTGAGGCGTCGTTCGATAGCCGGCATCTATAGGCTTCATCTTGTGAAACCATGGCCGCGGCAACCTCATCATTATCTTTAAAACCATCAGTATATGAATGTAGAAATGGTTGATATTTTAACTGCAACTTCGAGAAGGATGAACGAAAGGTGCAACTCTCACTGTCAGCCCAAATAAGAGATCCCAGTGAGATCTAAGCACCCACCATCGTGTGATCTTTCATGGTTTTATACAAGGTTCATATGTTTTCTCTTTTCTTCTGTTTGTCTATTCTTTGCTTTTAGACTGTAACTATTTGTTGCATTGACAGCTTAATAAATATTCAGCACCATCATAGAGAAACCTATATATAACATTGGAAAAGAAGCCATCTCGAACTTCCAGATAAAAAGCAATGACAATCCTCATATGTCAAAATCAATCACGAATGCCTGTTGACCACATATTCCAACCATCAGTTTCAAAATTCAGCAGAGAAAACAGAGGAAAGGTTATTTATATCCCACTCCACTAGAGCTTCCAGAAGTCTAAGCCGAACAAATTTGCGGAATGGAAAGTGCAATGACAGGACAGGTTATCTGAAACGTGTGAGATGCAGAGAAAGAGATAGCAGTTACCGGCGAAAGTCTGACAACGACAAGCTTTGTTGGCATACTGTCCGTAAGCAGATGATCACTGTGTGTAACACTAAGGATGACTAGAATGGATAGATCAGGAAAAAATAGGGTAATGTAGGCATCAAGTAAACATCCGACATCGTTTTGGAAAAGGAGAAAGAGGCTTAAGTTGACCATTAACAATCAGGTCGCACATTTTTATAGCGAGTGGACGCTTTCGAGTTAAGCCTCAAAGATAATACAGGCTAACAAAAATGTCGGAAAAAATCATCGATACTATAAAGTCGAGACACGAAAGTAGAAGTCCCAGTAATGCTTGGCGTCTATGGCGGATAACAACTTGCCGGACAAATAAGTATGTACGATCGCTATTTGAGTATTTATAGGAAACGTAATAAATCTAGCAAAAATATGTTGATAATCAAACAGAGTCCTAATCAAACACAATGTGCCAGACTTTTATTTCACAGGCATTTTCCCTATGCACAATTTGTTCATTTTACAGTTGAACTTTCACGAAAATATACTTTTGTTTTTTGTTGTTTTTTTTCTACAGAATTCGTAAATATCACTAAATCTAATCTAATTGACATTTCTTTGTTTTCATATTAAAGAGTTCCTGTAACGCCCGAGACTCTAAAAATAGTAACAATCGTTTTAACATTACGAAAGGAGTTTTTTTGATCAGATTTCATGTAAAGTATTGCTATTTTTTTCAATCCATTTAAAGAAAGAATTTTTGTACCATATACACTGTGCTACATTATGATGTTTATTTTATACAGTTAGAACTTAACTCTTAGAAATCTATAATCTAAACAACAGGTACAAAGCCCGTTTATATTCATTTCCTTATGTCATGTATTCATTCTTTGTGCTTACCGTATGAACTAGTCTATCGATAGAATTACAACTACTGACATGGACACGACTAGTTGCCGTTATCTCAAACTTCACAAATTCAGTTAGTATACAGAACGAGATTAAACTTGTAATACACCTGCTTTTCTTGTAGTCTTTCAACATCTACGAGTAACTGCAAATGACACCTATGTTTTACACGTGCTTCTAATGACATACGAGTGATTCCCATAAGCTGCTGATCAATCAGAATTACTTCCCTTCGTTTCTATGCATGTAATAGCAATGAGAGGACTGGAAGAGTTTACGACATGCCCATGAATGTTCCGGAATAGTGATTGCTATGCAATGAACTACCAAGTGCCATTATGTTTTTTTTTATAAAGATAATATATTAATATAATCAAATGTTCTAACGCTGATCACTATGTAAAATTATGTACCGATTAGCTGGTATAATAATGTTAGAATTTATTAACACGTACCAGTTCAGGAGATTGAAAACTATCTTTTTAAAACAATGTAAATGAAAACGATCTGATAGGGAAAAATAAGAGAATGATCAGGTAGTCACTCAGCAATTTTCTAAATCGCTGATTCACGCAACACAATACTGCAGACTTGGCACAGAACATCGATATCGGATA